ATGTTTTATCATATTTTATCCTATCTTAACCTTTTTCTATCTAAACGTATTTTATCCAATTTTAACATTTTTAAATTTTATTTTACCCTATTATGTTCTATCTTATATTCTCTCCTATTTCATCCCTTAACTTTTTTTTTAAATCTATATATCCTCTCCTATCTTAACCTATCCAAATCCTATCCTATGCTACCCTAACGAGCACGAGGAAGTAGTACCAGAGCTTCGCCGAGGCAGTGCGTTCTCCCCGTACACCGAATAAGTTAATTTCATTCGAACAGGAGCGCGAGGTCGTCCCTTACGTACTCCAGTTGGGTTCCAAATAAGCCAAGGCGACCAACCGGAGAGGGAGAAGACGCTCGTATCAGGTTTGCGACATCAAAACAAGCCAATTACTCAACCAAGCTGCTGTTGAGAGCACGAGGTGACCTGTTGTCAAAGGCGAACGTCCCCTGTAAGATGCGATCTTGAATAAGGGCGAAAATCTCTCGCCCTATCCGTAATGGCGCCGTGCTGACGTCACGAGGGGTACTTGAACGGCAGCTCGCGTGTCGTCTCTGGTCGCCACGTCGCTGCACCTGTTGCGGGCGATCTGCATGGATGTCGTCGCGTACTGTACTGTGCACTATATTCATTAAACGAGCATAATTATATATCCATCGGGCTAGGATCGGTACAGGGTAATCCATAACGTTTTCAGAAAAGGTACGTGTCGATCGTTTGAGTATTACGTGTCAGTTTCGGTAGACGGAATACATACCTGAAATGAATTTACCAGAGATCATGGAAATAAGATTCTGTGCTGGAAACTCGAGCTGGAATTATAGAGTTGCTCAAGGAATGCAAGGTAATCGAGATTGACTGCATACTAGATATACACTGGATTCGTAAAACCAAAGATAAGTATAAACATTACGCCAAGATCTATGCAGGATAAAGCCTAACATTTCTATTACGCGGTAGACGATAATTGGATTATTAACGTGCCGGCTTCGATCGACGGAATGAAGACGCTCCCTTAACTGAATCCGGTCATGGGAGGGAGTAGTGTACAGGAAAAGCGAGCTGGAATTATCGAGCGGCCGCCGACTGCAAGGCAATCAAGACCGTCGTCCAGTTACATAAGCTGAAGAGTAACCAAGGGCGATCAGGTGGGGCTGTAAGGAAGGTCCATATTATCCCTCGCTTCACTTTGTTGTTTGTGGTTTAGGAGGGATTTCGTCATATTTTGTTGCCAGTTTTCTCTTTCTTTCGCGAATTTTGTTCGTAGTCTCGATTTTTTTTCTGATTTTAAAGACTTTTCATGCGCGTGAGACGGACTTGTTTGCGCATGACATGACATTCAGTGTAGGTCAGATAAAGTGAGGAACATGTACGTATTGGCACGAGACTGACATACAGATAAATCATCACTATATTTAAATGGAAACATCTGGAATGAAGGAAAGGCAGGCGTGTCCACAACAAAAACCTGTTCTTGGTGTTCAGAGGGCTCACTTGTTGCCACTCTGAGAAAAATCGAGAACTCTGTATAGGAAGCTACAGGTACAGGTGTGAAGGCCCCTTTGCTGTTGGTTCTGTGAGATGAGAAGGAAGACAAGTTGTCTTTTGTGATTTAGTATTCGATGAGAGGTAACGTTTTTTTTTCTACGTAAAATACCGTGATCGTAATTTCTGGCACGGGGAGATAACACTTTGTGGTCGGGTTATGGCGTACTGCAAGGCCACTGGAGTTTTGACAGGTTATTGACATAGCGCAGATCTGTGGCAAAATAGATTATTTGTATGTTTGTATATATATGTGTTTGTGTTATGTGTGTGTGTGTGTGTGTGTGTGTGTGTGTGTGTGTGTGTGTGTGTGTGTGTGTGTGTGTGTGTGCTTATGTGTGTGTATGGTGTGTATGTATGCTATATATATATATATATATATATATATATATATATATATATATATATATATGTACATATGTATATACATGTATAGTATGTGTCATATATGTGTATGTATATATATATATATATATATATATATATATATATATATATATATATGTATGTATATATATCATATATGTATGTATGTGTATGTATATATATATGTGTGTGTGTGTGTGTGTGTGTGTATGTGTATGTGTTGTGTGTGTGTGTGTGTGTGTGTGTTGTGTGTGTGTGTGTGTGTGTGTGTGAGAGAGCGAAAGTGATAGCGAGAGAGAGAAAGTAAAAGCGAGAGAGAGAGCGGATGGAAAAAAGAGCGAGAGAGAGAAAGAGAGAGAGAGAGGAGAAGGTTGGGACAAGAGCGAGAGAGGGAGAGAAAGACGAGAGAGAGGGAGATAGAAAGAGAAAGAGCGAGCGAGAGAGAAAGAGCGTGTGGGAGATAAAGCGAATGAGAGAGAGAGAGAGAGAGAGAGAGAGAGAGAGAGAGAGAGAGAGAGAGAGAGAGAGAGAGAGAGAGAGAGAGAGAAAGTCGGAGGAAAAGAGAAAGAGATAGAGAGAGAGAAAGAAAGCGAAAGACCAAACGCACTTTTCTTTCCTTCAATCGTTGAAAAGGATTTCGAAACTGACGTTTCTCTTTTCCGTAAACCTTATTAGTGCATAGCATTAGCAAGGTAGACCGTTTTGCCATTCAGCAGATAGAGAGATAGTGACACAGAAAGAGGGTAGACCAGAAAAAAAATTAGTTATGGGTGGCTGGTTACGGGTTTGTGCAAATGTCATGTATTCCTTTCCTTTCATACCGTTTCATCTCTCTCTCTCCTCTCTCTCTCTCTCTCTCTCTCTCTCTCTCTCTCTCTCTCTCTCTCTCTCTCTCTCTCTCTCTCTCTCTCTCTCTCTCTCTCTCTCTCTCTCTCTCTCTCTCTCTCTCTCTCTCTCTCTCTCTCTCTCTCTCTCTCTCTCTCTCTCTCTCTCTCTCCTCTCTCTCTCTCTCTCCCCATTTCCCCCTATCCCCCCCTTGTCTCTCTCTCTCTCTCCACTTCCCTCCCTACCTCCCTCTCACTTCCCTTCCCTCCCTACCTCCCTCTCTCACCCCCCTCACCCTCCTCCTCCCTCCCTCCCCTCTCCCCTATCTCCCCTCCTTCCCTCCCTTTTATCTACCCCTACACCCTTCATCTCTGTCTCACTCCCTTTCTCAACCCATCATCCTTCCTGTCCTTCTTCCTCTTTCTCTCCCTCTCTTTCACGCTGTGGGCTATACCTTGACCCAATAAATATCCCAGACAGCAGGCACGTCCGTATTTATCACTTCGTCTAATCGTAAGTCGACCAAGTTCCGGCGGCCAAGGAGCGAGAAGGACGCTGATTTCAGGTCAGTCGACGTGCTGGGAGTCATTGGTGGAAAGTACGTGTAAATGTGTATTACTCTTCGCATTTCTTTTTCTTATTCTTATTTTTATTTTTTACTTTATTATTATTTTTATTGTTGTTGTTGTTCGCTTGATTTTTTTAAGTCGTGCAAGTTGTGTGAAAGGTTCGAGTTATTATCTTTTTCATTGGTGTTACGCTTATAGTTTGAGTGTTTGTGTTTTGATGGATCTAATGAACAGTGATGTTGTGATGATATCAGAATAGAATGGTCAAATGCAGGGACAGGAGGAAAGAATAGAATGCTGACGAGAATCATAACCAGAAGTTCGTATTCCTCGTAGGTTGCTCTGGTTTTGCGCGAGATCTCTTCAAAGGCCTTTAAAAATGAAAACGGCATTTAGAGTGCACATAGTCGCAAGAGGCAGCTTGTCCTATTCACAGTACAGTTTGAGAACGGTCCAAGAGATGGGATAGATCTTTTCGGTTATGCTTCAGTTCAAAAGTAAGCTTACTAAGATGTCTAAGATTGTATTGGGCTTACTACTGGTCAGATGATGGCAGAGGCCTCGACCGTAAATAGATTTTCATCAGACTTCACATCGCACACATCTTGCATACACGCCCTTGCAGAATTCTAATGGGAATAGGGTTTGAAAGGCCAGCATGCCGATGCGTCCTCCTTGGCAGCTCATCTGCATTGACGTCGAAGGAGGAACACCTCGGCCGTCCCAGCGAAGCCCCGACATCTCTCCTGGCTGTCCTTGTGTCCTGCCCGACCCAGGGGGAGAAGAGGAGGCACGGGCAGGGCGGTGCGGCTTTATTTGCGTGTAAATTGTCTCGTCTGGAGGGAAATCGCCCAGTCTAGGGGCGTTAGGTCTGGGCATCGCCAGCCGATGCCTCCCGGGCTTTCGGAGATCTGGTGGCCCGAACAACTTTTTTCTTAATGTCAGTTGAATCCCGGGGTCATGAAGGACCAGCGGATGTTAACAACTTCCTCGGAATCGGTTTCATAACTACTAAAAGGGACAAAAGTACAAAGTATAGTCTGACAGAAATTACAGGTGGTATGATTAAAATGCTTAATTCTTCGAGATATTAAAGAGTAAAGGATAGAGATCGTGCGTGCAGAAATCTTGCAGAAATCTTCAAAGTCTAGCTCTTAGGTTTCGAGGTTTCGAGAAGATTGCCGAAATCGAGTGCGTTCGTTGCCTGGGCCACGTACGCCACTTGCTTACGTCGGTCGGTCGGCGGTGGTCTCCTTCAGCAGGTAGAGGACGCGACTTGAACCTTAATGCTGTCGCTTTTTTCTCTTCTCGCTTCTGTCAGGAAGGAAACATTTTTTTCGTCTCTGTCAATACGACGTCCATATCTGTCTGTTTTCTTTCTCTTTCGTAAGACTACACTTCGTCAGGCCATTCCCATATATGGTGCTACAATATAATCGCACAATATTATGTGTTATCATGAATGGCATTTTGAAGACATTATACCAGGATCTCTGAATATTTAGGGAAAGCGGCCGTCATGAATAAGCAGCCATCACCGTGCTGTAGCACCATCAGGCCATGAAGGGAGAGAGGCAGAGAGAGGAAGGAAAGGGAGGCGCAGGAGCCGTGCCCGGGGGCGCTCGCCTACTGAAGGGCGGAAAGGCGGGCCGGGTAGCGAGATTTGGCATCGAGAGGGGTAAGGGGGACAGGTGCAGCATCATCGGATCCTTGGTCGGGCGGCCACACGGTCACCGCTGCCAAGCCAGTCCGCTTTGCTCTCGTGCATCAAGTGACTCCGTGATATTACGCAAAAAGAGAGAGAGAGAGAGAAGCCTTAGGGAAAAGTGCGCCTGGATAGTTGGTCGGTTGAATCTGCGCGTAATTGCTCGGCTCGGCCGTCGGAATCCGATGGTCGGGCGTCCCTGTTTTCGGGACATGTCGGGAATAGCCATTGCGTCGCGCGTTTGTGACAGGCCCTGTGGAAATAAACGCATCGAAATTGCGTAGTAACAAGAAAAGAAAATTGCTTGGTAGCAGTACATACTCTTCGCTCTCGTGATTGCAACGTTCAGTAAAGATATTCATGTGCGAAGTTATTCTGTAGAATATTTGAAAACGTTTAGTGATGCTGTGCAATAGAACATTATAATTTGAAGTGTCTGCGCTGTGTTTATCATTATCATTGATATCGATGACACTATCATCATTTTTAGTAGTACTAGTATTAGTAATATTGTTGTTGTGATGATGATAATACTTTGTAATAATAATAATAGGCATTATTATTATTATTATTATTATTATTATTATTATTATTATTATTATTATTATTATTAACAATCCACATAGCCAACGCCATCATCAATTTAGTATTCATCAAGATCAAAGTAGTTTTATAAGTTGCTGAAGTAGTACAGGTAGTATTCTTAGTTTTTTTGTTATTGTTCTTGTTGTGCTAACAAAGAGTAAATAATAGCAGTGTCATCACTAGTTGTTGCTCACTAGTTGTTGCAAAAGCATAAAGTGATAATGAAATAGTCTATTTATAACAGCAGCTACATCATAAGCAATGGTAGCTATTGTCTTCTTGATTTTGCATTTGAAGTATTAATAGCAATTAAAGTAGTAGTAATAGTAGTAGTACATGTACCAAACACTGGTTATTCTTATCGTCATTTCCCTATTAGTTAGTATCATACTTCACAGGGAATGCCATCTTATCCATCATTTGCACTTTGTATTTTGTACCTGGCATTCCAGAATTGTTCTGTGAATGTTCCATAGAAAGAGAGCAAATGCTGAAAATAAGTTTGAGAATAACTTTACTGCGATGATGATGGGTGTTCTTGGATATCGCAATGGAAAGCGCGCAATGACAGCGATGACAAACTGCCTGGCATGGAGCGACCGGGATTTATCTTTCTCCTCTTCTTGGCCAGCACAGCGTTCACATATTGGAAAAGACGTAATCACCCGTTTAAAAGGACATATCAATGAATATATGGCTTGTAAGAGAGCAGTGCGCACGTGATCTGCAGGGAACCAGAAGAACTTAGACATGCCATACGGCAAAGGCTTGTCTGTAACGATGCATACATAAATGTATCATCCGCTTAAAGGCGTATGTGTGTGTTTGTTGAGCGCAGAGTCTCGCAGGACACTCCGCGGAGATCCTTCTGAACCTCGGCCGCCCAAGCACCATGTTCCGGTTCAAGAAGAAGCCTCCGAACCTCCACTTCCACGCCATCAACCCCAACGAGGTGGACCCGGGCGCTTGCATTCTCTGTGCCGAGTACGTGTGGCGCTCGCCTTGCTGCCTCGTGTTCCTTTGTGCCTTGGGTGGGAAGGAGCTCTTGGCTTTATTCTTGCTTGGATACCGTCTTCATTAGCATGGGGATGTTTTGTCTATTTTTTACGCGTGATGTCTTCCCATTTTAGAATCTGCATTTTATGCCGTTGTGTTCGTGCTTTCTTTATTTACAATTTTTTTTTTGTAAGGGATGTCTCACCACAGACCAAAGGTGTGAGGGAACACGTAGAGGAAAAGGTTCAGAACCACTAATGCAGATGAATGTGCGAGTAATTGATTTGATTGAGGCTGGGTCACCACCTCGTCCTCCGTGTGAAAAGGATGCGTCAGACATGCGATTAGGGGGATGCAGTTGAAGATGATTTGCGAGCTCGCTTAGCCTGGCACCCTGCTCTACGGGCGGAGGCTGGCCATGTGTATGCCGGTGTGTTGATATTCTTTTTCTGAAGATTTTGTGTGGTTTGCTGTTCGTCCACGTAAACAAGAGAGGTGTTGCGTAAGTGTTGGGTAGAGATAACAATGAGTGAATGGATGAGTAAAAGAGAAGATAGAATTAAAGCGAGTGTGAATGGGCGTCTGCATTGTGTAGCTAGATATCGACACCAAGAAGGCCCCGGTGGGTAAGCATTAGACCGGTCCCAGTTGGTAACAAGAGGTCCTAGGACTTGGGCGAAGGCGAGTCCTCCCAACGTGGGGGGGGGTGAGGGGGGTGTTAGTGGATACGATTTATGTTTTTAAAAATCTTATCCAGACGTGCATGATCGGGGTTCACCTTGAGTAACCTGGAAGAGGAGACACTGATCATGGAGATAACTTGGGAGCGTGTGTGGGTGTTATATTGGTTGATGAGACAACATCCTCACTTAGTGGACATGTGAACGCATGGCATCGTGGCCGGTCGCCGTTGAAAGGTCACTGGCGGGAAGCAGTCGGGGTCCAAGGCAGGCGGTGACTTCAGCTCAGGTCGCCAGGGGTCAGCAGGATTTTCCTGTTCATTGTCTGAGGACGCACCAAGGAAAAAAAACAATGCACTGCGTCTCACATACGTATATTAGTGTGTCTGTCTGTGTACGCAACAGCATACATGCAGTTATGAATATATCTCGGAATCTTTTTTAAGAACTTTACATTATGTTGCCTCATTTTGAAGCTTCTTGAAATGTAAATTATAATTCGACTCTGCCTTATGTGTATGTGGGGGGGGGGGGGGCATTAGCATCGTTAGTGGCACATGTTTTATTTTTCCTTTGAGGATAAAATGACCTTTGTATTCGCGGCCAAGGTTATGGAATGGTAATTTTGCATCGTTGATAACCACTGCCAGAGTTTGTTGACGTCAAGAAGGGCCAGTGGTATGCTGAGTTTAGAAGCCAAGGTCATTCCACTATTCTTGTTTTTTTATCGAAACTTCCAGACCCCGAAAAAACTAGCCCTTCTAGTTTTTTTTTTACCGTTGTAAAAGAAAAATACCGTCGATAATATAGTTTATTATTTTTTTTAATTGCTGTTGTTGGTTATCCATTTTCTTCGGTTCCCTCGTTCGCATTCAAAGGCGCGACTCTTAGGTCTAGTTTTAGTTGTGATTCCCCAAATTAATGCGAGTCAACAGATTGATATTGAATATTTATCACTTGGAGACCTGCATGCATCTGTAAGTAGTAATCCATGTGTAATATTGAGATGGTCTGGACTTTCTTATGAGAGTTGCAAGTCCACACAGGTCTTCGCTTTAGCTCTTATCTGTACGAAGAATTGTATACATGCACACGCGCACACACGGATACGTAGTACGCACGCAGACGCCTATCAACTTACACCTAAGCCTATATCCACGCACCTCGCCTCACTCATCCACCCATTCACCGAACCCATCCATCCACCCAGTCACTCATCCAGCCACATACACACATGCACTCACACACGCACGCACACACATACACACATACACACATACACACACACACACACACACACACACACACACACACACACACACACACACACACACACACACACACACACACATCACTCACACACACACACACACACACACACACACACACACACACACACACACATACACACACACACACACACACACACACACACACACACACACACACACACACACACACACACACACACACACACACACACACACACACACACGCAACAGTGAGATCCAATTCAAGGACACAATATTAATGCAATCTGCATCAAGAGATAGATCTGAGCGCTGCCGACAAAAAACAATGTGATGTAATAACACAAGCATCAACTATGAAGTTAATATTGCATGGCTACAACCCGCTCGGCACCAGCTCGAACTAGCTTGCTACCAGTGCTTTCCAGATAACAAGTTTCTGTGAATTCCTTAATGAGGCATAATTCGGGTAAAAGTCCCCGGGTTCTCTCATTAAGGCCTATAGTCCTGTACCCGTTTTCTGGTTTTATGCCCATCTTGATCGGAAGACGAGTGAGAATGAGTTTCACAATGCAGCATCTAGAAGTAGCATATTGCATTTGATTATGTGATGTAATATACATATATAGATATATATTTCGGTATAGAATTCTTTATCGCGCCTTTTCTCAAAGGAATTGAATCAATCCCTCTATCCTGGCGTGTCTGGACGTACAAAGAACGAACGCAGGTTGTACACACTTTCATGGTCGTTATGGCTTTTACTGAAGGGAGAAAGGGAGAAGGGGAGAGGGGAGAGTGGAGGAAGAAAGAGGCGGACAGGCAAACGGAAGAAAAGGGCGAAACAAGGGACATTATCTTCCAAGAAATTACCACATGTCCATTCTGTGTTGTTAATAGTGTCTAAACATGGCGCCACATGAATAAAAAACGCGAACCAAATGTTTTATTCTTCACAATCAGCCATGTTTGTATACGAGTGCATCTTCACTATGGAAATGTTACAAGAAGGAAAACCCCAGGAAAAAACGAGGATTTATTATCATTATATATATATATATATATATATATATATATATATTGTGGTGAGGTTATCGGGTAGTAGTAGTTTGGGCTTGAGTGCAGAGGGATCATGACCCAGCGTTATTGCTTGATGTTTGCTGTTTCTTTTCTCATCCCACTTTGTCACTCCCTCCGTTTCTCCCCACCCCCTCTCTCTCTCTTTCACTCTCTCTCTCCTCCCTCCCACCCTTTCCCTCTTCTCCAACCTACCTACCTCTGCCTCTTCTTTCCTGCAAGCTAGAATAATAAACATTGTTGATATAGGCCTAAATTGTAATAGAATTGTATTTTTTATTATTATTATTATTGTCGTTGGTAATAATGCTGTGGAATTATTACTTGCCATTGATGTGATGATGCTGTCAAATTATTAACGCTTATTGAAATTTTGGCTTAAGAAACTACCCTTGTCACGATTATTGCAAACTTTTGTTTGTTATGCAAGAATATAGTATTAGGAAAATAATCTTTTTGGCGTGATTAAGTGAATCATTAACTTTTGCTCTCGCCACAGCTGGCAGTTAGTATTGCAAATGCCCAGTGCTCCTGTTATTGTTTGCGTACCTCTAATTCTCAAGTCTGTATTCGTATTGCAGATGGGTGGGTGTCCATGGAGGCCAGCCAAGTGAAGGCGCCCAGTCGGCCTCCCCTCTGCTCACCTCCCCCACCACGCCCCACATCGTAGTGTCTCCCGAAGAGAACGCCAACTCCCAGAACGCCAATGATAAGCCGGCGCAAGAGGACGCTGCGGTAAGTCATTCCGAGGTTTTCGCGTTTCTTATTTGTGTCAAATGCTTGTAATACGGATAAGTATGGTGACATTCACTGTGCGTTAGTCAGTCTTTCCATTTCACTCCATTGCAATAGCAGCAGCAGCAGTCCTCTCCCCAAGCCAATAATGGCACGGGTGTCCCCAACGGCCAGTCCGCCCTGGCTTCGGCGCCGGCCCCCGCCGTGGAGGAGAAGGAGCGCACGCGGCCCGATAAGCTAACGTGAGTGTGGCCGATGGCGCGTCCTTAATAGATGATTGATTGGAATGCTGTCAACATCAATAATAGTAGTTGTTTGGTTTTATGTATAACACTTTCCCTAGTTTCTTTTCTCTCTTGTGCTCATCTCTGTACACCAAACTCCACATAGGACCATTGCATTTTGTGTTGTCCGCCGCCAGGTTGACCATGAATACCCTGGACCTCCCAGATAGCCGCCACCCCTCACTAGATATCGGTGTGCGCCGTAACACCCGGCGTAACTCCATGAGCGAAATGCTCAAACGTTACGGAAGTCAAACCAACCTCCAAAGGACTCCCTCAACCAACAACATCCGACGCAGTACCTCTCGGAACAGTCTAGTTTTAGAGTGGACTCAAGAGGGAAAGTTAGTATCATGCAGCTTGGAGAGCTATTGTGGAGTTTCCTCACTTTTAACAATGGTTTTATTTTTTCCATAACTGTTCTTTATTATTTTTTTCCTAACTGTCTTTTTTTTATTCACATTGGTGTTTAAGCCTCTTTCATTTTTTGTGGATTTCATGTTTATTTCAACTAAAGTATTATATTGTTTTAGAAGTAGTGTAGTGTTTTCCACTATGTTGTAACAATTCTTTGGTCACGTGAGTATATATTCTTTTAGTTTTACATGACCTAAGTAGTAGGATCCTATAACATATTAACCTGATGATAATTTTGCATCACAAGCTTTTGAATTAGACATGCACGTCACATAGAAAAGAAGTACATGTTTATGTAGACAAAAAGAAAATAATTGGTAGAGAGAGATATATTTTTATGTAATTTAAAAAGAAATGGATTGGTAGAGGAAGTACATCTTTTAAATGACTTGAAAGAAATTGATTGGTGGAAAAAGAAGTGCATTATTTATATAACGTAAAACAAGTTACTTGGTATAAGGAAGTGCATTTTTTTAATAACCTGAAAATTATTGGTAATGAGAATTGTATCTTTTATATAACACAAGCAATTAATGGATATTGAGAATATTTCAAATCTCACTGGTGTGAGTATTCACTGGTTCCCTTTATTCACAGCGATTCTCTCATTGCTTGTCTGAGTGCCCTGTATGGCAAGCTTCTAGTGGTGATGGGCATGGCTTTCCCAATTGCAGAAGTCATCTCACATGATATACCTGTTACTTTCTACAATGTAAGTACTTTTTTTTGTATGGTGGTTTTGCAATTTTGTGTATATTGAATTTGATGATGAAAGTAGATGGAAGAATGTAGGTTAGACTGTCTTCATCTGGTCTTATTCATGTGTGTAACATTTATTCCATTTTGGAACAGGAAAATGTTGAGGTGAATTATAGTCAGTTTTGATGTGGTATTTTCTGTTCTATTTTTATCTCTTTCTACACATACACATGAACTTGCACATTTACATTCACACATTCAAATTCACGCTCACGCTCACATTCATTCACACATATATATACAGGCTAACTCGCTGTCACACACACACACACACACACACACACACACACACAACACACCACACACACACACACACACCACACACACACACACACACACACACACACACACACACATACACACATACACACACACACACACATACACACACAACACACACATACACACACATACACACACACACACACACACACACAACACACACACACACACACACACACCACACACACACACACACACACACTCTCTCTCTCTCTCTCTCTCTCTCTCTCTCTCTCTCTCTCTCTCTCTCTCTCTCCTCTCTCTCTCTCTCTCTCTCTCTCTCTCTCTCTCTCTCTCTCTCTCTTTCTCTGCTCTCTCTCTCTCTGTTCTCTCTCTTTCTCTGTCTCTCTCTTTCTCTGTCTCTCTCTATCTCTCTCTCTCTCTCTCTCTCTCTCTCTCTCTCTCTCTCTCTTCTCTCTCTCTCTCTCTCTCTCTCTCTCTCTCTCTCTCTCTCTCTCTCTCTCTCTCTCTCTCTCTCTCTCTCCTCTCTCCCTCTCTCCCTCTCTCCCTCTCTCCCTCTCTCCCTCTCCCTCTCCTCTCCCTCTCCCTCTCCCTCTCCCTCTCCCTCTCCTCTCTCTCTCTCTCTCTCTCTCTCTCTCTCTCTCTCTCTCTCTCTCTCTCTTCTCTTCTCTCTCTCTCTCTCTCTCTCTCTCTCTCTCTCTCCCTCTCCCTCTCCCTCTCCCTCTCCCTCTCTCTCCCCCTCCCTCTCCCCCCCTCTCTCCCTCCCCCTCCCTCCCTCCTCTCCCTCTCCCTCCCCTCCCCCTCCCCCTCCCCCCCCCCTCCCTCCCTCCTCCCTCCCTCCCTCCCTCCCTCCCTCCCTCCCTCCCTCCCTCCCTCCCTCCCTCCCTCCCTCCCTCCCCCTCCCTCCCTCTCTCTCTCTCTCTCTCTCTCTCTCTCTCTCTCTCTCTCTCTCTCTCTCTCTCTCTCTCTCTCTCTCTCTCTCTCTCTCTCTCTCTCTCTCTCTCTCTCTCTCTCTCTCACACACACACACACACACACACACACACACACACACACACACACACACACACACACACAACACACACACACACACACACACACACTTCTTTCTTTATCTGTAATATTCTACATGTCCTACTTCTATCTTTCTATACTTCTATTCTTTGTCCTCTTGTTCTCATCTTCTCTTTCTCCTACTCTTTACTTTTCTTTTATCCTATCCTCTTGTCTCATCTATTCTCCTCTGTTATATTTTCTCCTTTCTCCCCTCCCTTTATCTCTTCTTTGCTCCTCTCCTTTTTCCTTTTTTTCTCTTATTTCCCCCTCATTTTCCTTTTTGTTCTCCTCCTCCTCTTTTCTACTCTTCTTTTTCTTCCTCTTCTTCCTTCTCCTCCCTCCTTCTTCTTCACTTCCTTCTCCTCTTCTCATCTTTGTCTCCTCCTCCTCTCATCTGGTCTTTTCAATTCCTTTCTCTTTTATGTTTCTCCTCTCCTTTTGTCTCATCTATTCTCCTCTATTCTCTTTTCTCCATTCTCCCCTCCCTGTTTCTCCTCTTTACTCCTCCTCTCCTTTTTCCTCATTTTCCTCTTTTTCCTTTTTGTTCTCCTCCTCCTCCTCTTCCTCTTTTTTCCCCCTCTTTCCTTTTTGTTCTCCTCCTCCTCCTCTTCCTCTTCCTCTTCCTCTTCCTCCTCATCCTCTTCTTCTCCTCTTTTCTACTTTTCCTCTTCTTCCTCTTCCTCCACCCCCTCCCCCCTTCTCCTTCTTTTCTTCCTTCTCCTCTTCTCTTCCTTGTCTCCTCCTCCTCTCATCTGGTCTTTTCTATTCCTTTCTCTCCTATGTTTTCACCTCTTGTCTTCTCTTTTATTCCTTTTTTTCACCTTGCTGCTACTTGCTCATCATCATCATCATCATCAATAATTATCATCCCTCTCTCCCTCTCTCTCTCTTCCCCATTCTTCTTCACCTCTCTCTTCCCCATCCTTCTTCACCCCTCTCTTCTCTTTTCCTCACACCTTTCATTATCATCACCATCATCAATAATAATAATCAGCAATCAGCAATAATCAATCATTATCCATCATCATCATTATTTATTTGATTCTACCTCAATTATCAAAAGCAAGAATGAATGTCCTCTGATTCAACAGGGATTCTTTCTCTTTCACTGATGATAATACTTTTCAACAGGGATTCTACCTCTACTTGTACATTGGGTCCATAATATTCCTTGTGTACGCCTACATATTCCTCTTGCGTTCGATCAACCTCCCAACGGAGCAAATCAAGTCCAAGTTTCATTCCCTGCGTAAGTTGTTCAAGTGCTACTTTTGGCAAGTCCAGCAGTCCATTTAAAGATTAGGTCAGGTGTCTAAATTGGAAGCTATAAATTGTTAATTGATGATATAGAGATGTGCTTGTAAGAAGACTTTGGGTTGGGAGAATGTGGTTTTCTACTTTGCTGAATTATAGTTTTGTATATTAAGGTAATCATTTTTTTTACTTATTAATTATATATACCTAACATTTTTACAAATAAGTGTGCTTTTTATTTTTAGTCTTTTCTTTTGCTTCTTATGTCAAGGCTTCTTCCTTACTTAATTCACTGTATATGCTAAAGATACAGAAATTACCAGCTCAAGGATATTCAAATCCTGTATGTACTACCCTACAGCAAGAACACAATTATTCTTTATTTATGATAATTTTTATATTTATGATTTTGATAGGGAAATATTTGCAAACTCATGTTTTTAGACATATTCTAAAAATATATTGTATATTTCAAGTTCTTCCAAAAATATCCAAGAATTGAACAACAATGAAAGACTCATAGAATTTCCCATTTGTCATAAGTCACTTAACCAGAGATATGTATTTTTTCTCTCTTGCTGTATGGTGCCTGAAAAATTCTGAACAGCTTTCTCTTCCATCATTCTCAGTACTTTTAGATGTAGAATTGGATACCATAATCTATTGGTTGTAGTTTTTAAGAGAATATTTTACCGATACTCTTGATTCCAGGAGCTGTGAATGGGATAACCAATGGAGTGTGCAATTACCCTTTTTGATCCTACACAGTGGTGTAAAGTAAATCACAAAAAATCAACATCCTTTCTTGTTTTTCATTATTAAAAACTTTACGATAAATCTTCAGGGCATCATCTGGTGAAAAAGCTATAGCTTGCACTCAGGAGCTGAGCAACCTGAGCTGTTGCCTTGCACTCCATGGTTGAATTGGCTATAAATTGCCTCATTTATTGCTTTGGAGATCAGTTCCATGATGCTTTGAGTTACACTCCTATTCCACAATTTATTTTATTTTATTTATTCATATATTTATTTATTTATTATTATTATATATTTTTTTTTATGTACTCCTTGACAAATTTTATGTAAATAAAGCTTGTGTTAACCGCAAGACGGGGTTTGCTAGTGCAGATTTTGACATGTTTTTGCTTTGACTGACAGTTGAAGAACATGAACCAACCAAAGCCTTGTTGCCATTATACAATTCCAGGAAACTACATGGCTATGCCTGACTTACACATGGTCTTCCCTCATCGGAACTCTTCGCAGCAAGAGGGTACAGGTAGAAAGAATAATAACATTTCAAAGATGATTGAGAACTACCACAATTACAAATATTAACATGGGATCACAGTAAGGTATTTTAACATTATCTAACCAGATTTAGGAGGGGATAAAAAGAAAGATAAAAAATAAGAATAACAGTAGAATAAACACAGGTTTTATATAAATTATTATATGCTAACAAATTTTACAGTCATATATAAAATTCATTTTTTGAGCTATTAAAGTTTTTACAACTGTTTAGTTATACTCATGTTAGGAATTGCAGTTATGGTCATATTGTACTTCAAATGTCAAAATGTAATTTAGGGAAAGTTTAAAGACTAAGTGTTTTGACATTTAATATGGAAATTAGGTCTGTAAGATTACACCACAAATACAATATTATTGACATTACAGTATTTTAGTTCTCAATTGTCTTTATGAATACTGGAACATGTACAAAGGTGCTTTATGCTTACAGCAAATTGGGCATGTTGACAAAGGAATGTACATATATTGAGAACTTTGTAAATACCAAGGCTTTAAAAGTTACCCATGACAATCATGCTGCTGGCTGTCTCACATCTTCCACAGAGAAAGGAATTATCCAAAATTTTTTGTGCATAAAAAATTGTAAATGTTTTTGACATGGAGAGAGAGCATGTAGTGCAAAGATCTATATTATTTTCTTCCTAGTCTTTTTTCATCTTCCATTTGCATTTACAGATTTTTTTTATGTCTAAGATGTTTATATGTATGGATTAGATATTTATCCATGAATGTAGATAGGCAACATACAAAAGCATGAAAGACATTATTAGTAAGATTTTTCAAGGTTATATGTTTTTATATTATTGTGTGCTTAAGAAAATTTAAGTTTGGGATAGCATCTGATATTTTCTCCAATTATAAAATCAGTATATGCATGCATATAATATTGACTTATAACTCATTAGTTAATTTGTTACACTGCTTTTACATTACCAGTCTGCATGAATCACATAGACTTTCAACACATTTCCACTAATCTAGTAATTATTGAAACAATAACGCCTTCTTTTTTTACTGTCAGTTTATTTTCCTTTCTTGATTATTCTTATGTTCCTTTTTGATTTGATGTGAGATATCAAATTTGCTTTTACACCATACATTATTGTGTTTGTAATTTATTTTCCTTGTGCATGCGGCAAGCCAAAGATATCATGCAGATTATGAGAGAATTATTCATGGAATTCACATACCTTTATGAAATGTCCTTACTGTTTCTATTTTGAGATTGATAAGTGTGCTAGTTGTTGACAGATTTGACACCTATGATGAATGTATACTTTATTAGCATATTGGCACTTTAGGCGCATGAAGAAAAGTAAGTGTCTTACTTTAGGGCTCAAAGTTGTAAACCATTGTAAGTAATGGATGTGCTAATTTATGATATAATTTATGATATGTTTAAAGAAATCTAAAATTTGGTTGTTTATTTTAAATTGCCCTATATTTTAGGCATGTTGAATAGGAAAGTGGCCTGGTAAGTTTAGCTATATTTTTGATATGTTAACCCTTCAGGGATGAGCTAAAGGTAACATACACAACACTCATAAATAAGCATATTTTTTTTATAAATACAATTTTTGGAGTAATCATTCAGAGATAAAGTGTTTGTATGGTATTGATGGCTGCATATGTACTATTACAAAGCCTATCTGTGAGGGGTTGACACTGCTTTTGATTATCAAAAGGCATCTTAATGGGGTTAAGGGACAATTTGAATGAAAAGAAGATTTTAGAATACCTATATGCTTGGAGGTGCTAATATTGCTCATCACTTGCCATTTCATATTCTCAAGACTGATTTGACTGAGACTTTATTTTGATTTCAAGAATCTGACAT